CTCTTAGACCTTTGCTATCCCCTTTACACTAGAAATGCTGTTTAAAGAATTCCTTTTAGAGTCAAAGAAGGTTGAACCCCTTTCATGCGTCCTCGGTTGGCCCATCTCGCTGTAAATGGGAAGAGATACCCTTTGGAAAGACGCAGGATTTTTCGAGTATTGCTTTACGCCTCCCCTTTACTTGACCTTAAAATGGGAAAATATTTAAGACAAACAGGACCCTTTTCCCGGGGAACTCAAAATCAACCTAGTCCAGAAATAACACTTGCCAGAGCACAAACAGAAAAAAACAATACGACAAAAACATTAGAACAAAGTCAAAGTTGGCCAATATTTTCCCTCTTATTCACAACAAGTAAAAACTTAAACGACCAAAAACATAACGTTACATCTAAAAAAAAAAAAAAAAAAAAAAAAAAAAAAAAAAAAAAAAAAAAAAAAAAAAAAAAAAAAAAAAAAAAAAAAAAAAAAAAAAAAAAAAAAAAAAAAAAAAAAAAAAAAAAAAAAAAAAAAAAAAAAAAAAAAAAAAAAAAAAAAAAAAAAAAAAAAAAAAAAAAAAAAAAAAAAAAAAAAAAAAAAAAAAAAAAAAAAAAAAAAAAAAAAAAAAAAAAAAAAAAAAAAAAAAAAAAAAAAAAAAAAAAAAAAAAAAAAAAAAAAAAAAAAAAAAAAAAAAAAAAAAAAAAAAAAAAAAAAAAAAAAAAAAAAAAAAAAAAAAAAAAAAAAAAAAAAAAAAAAAAAAAAAAAAAAAAAAAAAAAAAATTTCTTTCTATAGTCTATGTTACACTGTACATTATACTTTTGACCCATTCCCAGTATAGTGTATGTTGTACGTTGTACTCCTGACCTTTTTTTCTGTATGTCTTTTGATTGTACATTAAAAAGCAATGATTCACATTACACTTCTGACCTCTTCTCAGCATATTCTGATTCTTTGATATGAAGGGCTTATGGAGCTTCTATACTGTTCGCAAGTACGTCTCTTAGAGGCCCTCTTGGCTGATCCCTCTCCTAGGTCGATCGCTGTGTAAAGAGATCGCTTCTTAGAGTTCGAAAACGAAGAGTTGGAACTCTGCACTGCTGTCCCGTCGGGTGCCCAGTCTCGACTGTAAAATGGGGAAGAAGGTATACCCCTTTACGGAGGATAGACAGCAGGACCTTTTTGCCCGGAGTATCAGCTTTACAGCCAATCAGCCCTTTTATCCTTGATCCATAGAAAAATAGACAGACAAATATTTAGATAGATCCAAACCAGGCATCCGCTTTTACCACAGAGAAAACTCAGACCAAATAATGTGCCAGAGAAGTAATCCACTCTGGCCAGAGCACAACACATGTAAAAAACACACAATACTGACAAGAACATTAGATGACACATGCTCAACATGTTTTTGGCTCACATATTTTTCATTTCTTATTCACAATCAAAGTAAAAAACTTAAGACCGACAAAAAACACTAACTGTGTGTACTCTAAACAGTATATGTTACTCCTGGCCCCCCCTTCTCTGCATTGTCTATGCTGTGCATTAAACTCCTCTCTTTTCTTTCTATAGTCTATGTTACACTGTACATTATACTTTTGACCCATTCCCAGTATAGTGTATGTTGTACGTTGTACTCCTGACCTTTTTTCTGTATGGTTTTGATTGTACATTAAAAAGCAATGATTCACATTACACTTCTGACCTCTTCTCAGCATATTCTGATTCTTTGATATGAAGGGCTTATGGAGCTTCTATACTGTTCGCAAGTACGTCTCTTAGAGGCCCTCTTGGCTGATCCCTCTCTCCTAGGTCGATCGCTGTGTAAAGAGATCGCTTCTTAGAGTTCGAAAACGAAGAGTTGGAACTCTGCACTGCTGTCCCGTCGGTGTGCCCAGTCTCGACTGTAAAATGGGGAAGAAGGTATACCCCTTTACGGAGGATAGACAGCAGGACCTTTTTGCCCGGAGTATCAGCTTTACAGCCAATCAGCCCTTTTATCCTTGATCCATAGAAAAATAGACAGACAAATATTTAGATAGATCCAAACCAGGCATCCGCTTTTACCACAGAGAAAACTCTCAGACCAAATAATGTGCCAGAGAAGTAATCCACTCTGGCCAGAGCACAACACATGTAAAAAAACACACAATACTGACAAGAACATTAGATGACACACACGCTCAACATGTTTTTGGCTCACATATATTTTTCATTTCTTATTCACAATCAAAGTAAAAACTTAAGACCGAAAACACTAACTGTGTACTCTAAACAGTATATGTTACTCCTGGCCCCCTTCTCTGCATTGTCTATGCTGTGCATTAAACTCCTCTCTTTTCTTTCTATAGTCTATGTTACACTGTACATTATACTTTTGACCCATTCCCAGTATAGTGTATGTTGTACGTTGTACTCCTGACCATTTTTCTGTATGGTTTTGATTGTACATTAAAAAGCAATGATTCACATTACACTTCTGACCTCTTCTCAGCATATTCTGATTCTTTGATATGAAGGGCTTATGGAGCTTCTATACTGTTCGCAAGTACGTCTCTTAGAGGCCCTCTCTGATCCCTCTCCCTAGTCGATCGCTGTGTAAAGAGATCGCTTCTTAGAGTTCGAAAACGAAGAGTTGGAACTCTGCACTGCTGTCCCGTCGGTGTGCCCAGTCTCGACTGTAAAATGGGGAAGAAGGTATACCCCTTTACGGAGGATAGACAGCAGGACCTTTTTGCCCCGGAGTATCAGCTTTACAGCCAATCAGCCCTTTTATCCTTGATCCATAGAAAAATAGACAGACAAATATTTAGATAGATCCAAACCAGGCATCCGCTTTTACCACAGAGAAAACTCAGACCAAATAATGTGCCAGAGAAGTAATCCACTCTGGCCAGAGCACAACACATGTAAAAAAAACACACAATACTGACAAGAACATTAGATGACACACGCTCAACATGTTTTTGGCTCACATATTTTTCATTTCTTATTCACAATCAAAGTAAAAAACTTAAGACCGACAAAAAACACTAACTGTGTACTCTAAACAGTATATGTTACTCCTGGCCCCTTCTCTGCATTGTCTATGCTGTGCATTAAACTCCTCTCTTTTCTTTCTATAGTCTATGTTACACTGTACATTATACTTTTGACCCATTCCCAGTATAGTGTATGTTGTACGTTGTACTCCTGACTTTTTTCTGTATGGTCTTTATTGTACATTAAAAAGCTATGTTTCACATTACACTTCTGACCTCTTCTCAGCATATTCTGATTCTTTGATATGAAGGGCTTATGGAGCTTCTATACTGTTCGCAAGTACGTCTCTTAGAGGCCCTCTTGGCTGATCCCTCTCCTAGGTCGATCGCTGTGTAAAGAGATCGCTTCTTAGAGTTCGAAAACGAAGAGTTGGAACTCTGCACTGCTGTCCCGTCCGTCGGTGTGCCCAGTCTCGACTGTAAAAATGGGGGGGAAGAAGGTATACCCCTTTACGGAGGATAGACAGCAGGACCTTTTTGCCCGGAGTATCAGCTTTACAGCCAATCAGCCCTTTTATCCTTGATCCATAGAAAAATAGACAGACAAATATTTAGATAGATAGATCCAAACCAGGCATCCGCTTTTACCACAGAGAAAACTCAGACCAAATAATGTGCCAGAGAAGTAATCCACTCTGGCCAGAGCACAACACATGTAAAAAAAAACACAATACTGACAAGAACATTAGATGACACACGCTCAACATGTTTTTGGCTCACATATTTTTCATTTCTTATTCACAATCAAAGTAAAAAACTTAAGACCGACAAAACACTAACTGTGTACTCTAAACAGTATATGTTACTCCTGGCCCCTTCTCTGCATTGTCTATGCTGTGCATTAAACTCCTCTCTTTTCTTTCTATAGTCTATGTTACACTGTACATTATACTTTTGACCCATTCCCAGTATAGTGTATGTTGTACGTTGTACTCCTGACCTTTTTTCTGTATGGTTTTTATTGTACATTAAAAAGCAATGATTCACATTACACTTCTGACCTCTTCTCAGCATATTCTGATTCTTTGATATGAAGGGCTTATGGAGCTTCTATACTGTTCGCAAGTAAAAAACACACAATACTGACAAGAACCTTCAGGGCCCACAGTGTCTGAGGATGGACGTTGGGCGCAGCAAAGGCAGAGACCAACTGACTACATAGGGCAGGTTTTTATAGTACGTAATTTTGGCCTCCCTCTCAGCAGGTGTGAAAAAGCCACCATTTTGGAACGGTAGCGAGGGTCCAACAAGGTGACAGCCAAAAGTCATCCCGGAACTCTGTCCTGATGGTTATTATTCGGCTGTCGCTACGCAAGCAACCGAGCATGCTATGGGCCATTTGTGCCAAGGAATGCGAGGGGACTCCCTGCCTCCATCTCCACAGCATACTGCCACTGGTGCGTCTGGGTCCTCCTGTCTCCTCCTCCTCCTCCTCTACCAGATGATCCTGCTCCTCCACTCCTGTCCGCTGAGTGGAAAAACCACCCATTTTCACTCAATAATTCCTGAGCACAAATGTCCTCCTCTACTCCTCCTCTTCTTCCTGTCCATGCCCCCACAGGGGTCATGTGGCGTTGAGATCTGTGCGCCACGTCTACAGGGACCCCGCACCCTGACCAGCCATTGTTAACAGCATTTGTTCCAGGACGTGCAACAGAGGAATGACGTCGTTCATCCCATATAGTCCTGCCGACTCACGAATAGCGTGGCCTCCTCAAAGGGCCTGAGCAAGCGGCAGGTGTCACGCATGAGCTGCCAATGGCTGACATCTAAGTTACACAGGGGAGTACCTTTATCCAGCTTGTAACATCAGGAAATCGGTGATGGCCTGTCGCTGTTCGTAAAGGCGGTCGTAACATATGTAGGGTTGAATTCCACCTTGTTGCAACGTCACAGCATGAGGAGTCGGTACAGGGGCCCATGGCAGATTAGGGGCCATGGCCGCAGCAATGTGAGGCCCGTAATCTGCCAGCATCCTATGACAAAATGGAACCCAGCAGCAGTGTGAGGACACCTGAAAGTGGCACATGGCATGACACACTGTGGACCTGGCAGCAGCATGAGGAGGCGGTGTTACAGGGGCCCATGGCAGATTAGGGGCCTGGGCCGCAGCAATGTGAGGCCCGTAATCTGCCAGCACTCCTATGACAAAATGGAACCCCAGCAGGAGTGTGAGGAGACCTGAAAGTGGCACATGTTACTACAGCAGAGTGTGGCGATGGAGACAGCAGCAATGGGAGGCCGTACGTAAAGGGACCCATGACACACTGTGGACCTGGCAGCAGCGTGAGGAGGCGGTACAGGGGCCCATGGCAGATTAGGGCCTGGCAGCAGCTATGGGAGGCCCGTAAATCTGCCAGCACCCTATGACAAAAATGGAACACCCAGCAGAAGTGAAGGAGACCTGAAAGTGGCACATGGCAGAGTGTGGCGATGGAGACAGCAGCAATGGGAGGGCGGTACAGGGACCCATGAGACACTGTGGACCTGGCAGCAGCATGAGGAGGCGGTGTACAGGGGACCCATGGCAGATTAGGGGCTTGGCCGCAGCAATGTGAGGCCCGTAATCTGCAGCTATCCCTATGTCTATGACAGAGTGTGGCGAAAAGGCAAGGGCGTAGCGTGTACCTGGCAGCAGTGTGAGGACACCTGAAAGTGGCACATGGCAGAGTGGGGCGATGGAGCAGCAGCAAATGGGTGAAGGCCGTAATCTACAGGACCCATGAGAAAATGTGGACGCTGGCAGCAGCGTGAGGAGGCTGTACAGGGGGCCAATGGCAGATATTCGGGCCTGGCAAGCAGCTATGGGAGGCCGCAATCTGCCAGCACCCTATGACAAAATGGAACACAGCAGCAGTGTGAGGAGACCTGAATAGTGGCACATGGCATGACACACTGTGGACCTGGCAGCAGCGTGAGGAGGCGGTACGGGGGCCCATGGCAGATTAGGGGCCTGGCAGCAGCTATGGGAGGCCCGTAATCTGCCAGCACCCTATGACAAAATGGAACACACCAGCAGTGTGAGGAGACCTGAAAGTGGCACATGGCATGACACACTGCTGGACCTGGCAGCAGCGTGTGAGGTTGGTACATAGGGGCCCATGGCAGATTAGGGACCTGGCAGCAGCTGAGGGAGGCCCCCCGTAATCTGCCAGCACCCTATGACAAAATGGAACTCCGCAGCAGCAGTGTTGTGAGGAGACCTGAAATCTGGCACATGCATGACACACTGTGGACCTGGTAGGCAGCAGCGTGAGGATGGCGTGTACCCGTGGCAGATTAGGGGGCCTGGCAGCTGCTATGGGAGGGCCCGTAAACTGCCACACCCTATGACAAAATGGAACACAGCAGCAGTGTGAGGAGCCGTGGACAGTGGCACAATGGCATGAGACACTGTGGACCGGCAGGCAGCGTTAGGAGGCGGGTACGGGGGGCCCATGGCAGATTTAGGGGCCTGGCAGCAGCTATGGGAGGCCCGTAATCTGCCAGCACCCTATGACAAAATGGAACACAGCAGCAGTGTGAAAGGAGACCTGAAAGTGGCACATGGCAGAGTGTGGCGATTGGAGACAGCAGCAATGTACAGGGACCCATGAGAGACTCTGGACTGGCAGCAGCATGAGGAGGCGGTAACAGGAGGGCCCATGGCAGATTAGGGGCCTGGCAGCAGCTATGGGAGGCCCGTATTCTGCCAGCACCCTATGACGAAAAAAAAATGGAACACACCAGCAGTGTGAGGAGACCTGAAAGTGGCACATGGCAGAGACACTGTGATGGGACAGCTATGGGAGCAGCGATGAGGACTCTGGCGGCATAGGAGGGGGCCATGGCAGATTAGGGGCCTGGCAGCAAGCAATGGGAGGCCCGTAATCTGCCAGCACCCTATGACAAAATGGAACACATTGCAGCAGTGTGAGGAGACCTGAAAGTGGCACATGGCAGAGTGTGGCGATGGAGACTGCGAGCAATGGGACGGGCCCGATACAGGGAGCAGCATGAGAGAGGACTTGGCAGCAGCATAGGGGCGCCATGGGCTGATTAGGGGCCTGGCAGCAGCTATGGGAGGCCCGTAATCTGCCAGCACCCTATGACAAAATGGAACACAGCAGCAGTGTGAGGAGACCTGATTGTGGCAAGTGGCAAACAGCAGCAAGGCAGGGACACACTGTGGACCTGGCGCAGCGTGAGGAGGCGGTACGGGGCCCATGGCAGATTAGGGGCCTGGCAGCAGCTATGGGAGGCCCGTAATCTGCCAGCACCCTATGACAAAAAATGGAAACACACCAGCAGTGTGAGGAGACCTGAAAGTGGCACATGGCAAGAGTGTGGCGATGAGACAGCGCACAATGTGGAGCCGTGCCAGGGAGCAGCATGAGTACTTGGACCTGGCGTACGGGGGGCCCATGGCCGAGCAGATTAGGGGCCATGGCAGCAGCTATGGGAGGCCCGTAAATCTGCCAGCACTCTATGACAAAATGGAACACAGCAGCAGTGTGAGGAGACCTGAAAGTGGCACATGGCAGGGGCATGATTCATGGCGGATTTAGTCAGTTGTGTCAGGAACTGGTGGTTTGAAATCCAGACTAATCCACGCCTGATTCATTTTCACAAACGTGAGTCTCTCCACACTTTGGGTGGACAGTCGTGTCCTCCGCGGAGTTCAATACCTCCTGCCGCACTAAACACGCGCTCCGATGCCACGCTACTGGCCGGGCATGACAGCCTTTCAAGGGCAAATTCAGCTAGTTGGGGCCAAAGGTCAAGTTTCGTTGCCCAGTAGTCAAGGGGATTGTCTACCTCGGTTGGCAGGGTGCTGTCCAAGTAGGCCCAAGCCTGTTGTTTGAGCTCCTGCTCCAGGTCCACCTGATGCTGCTGCTGCTGCTGCGGCTGGTTAGTAGTTTTCCTCACTGCGCTGGTGAAGAAAGCTACTCATCATCGACTGCAGACTGAGGCAGCCGCTGCTGGTGGAGCTGCCACTGCTCCTACCACCCCACCCCTCCCCTGCTGCCATGGCAGCGGAACGCGAGCGCACAGGGCCCACAGTGTCTGAGGATGGACGTTGGCGCAGAAAGGCAGAGACCAACTGACTACATAGGTGGTTTTTATAGTACGTAATTTTGGCCTCCCTCTCAGCAGGTGTGAAAAAGGCCACCATTTTGGAACGGTAGCGAGGGTCCAACAAGGTGGACAGCCAAAAGTCATCCCTCTGTCTGATGGTTATTATTCGGCTGTCGCTACGCAAGCAACCGAGCATGCTATGGGCCATTTGTGCCAAGGAATGCGAGGGACTCCCTGCCTCCATCTCCACAGCATACTGCCACGGTGCGTCTGGGTCCTCTGTCTCCTCCTCCTCCTCCTCTACCAGATGCTCCTGCTCCTCCACTCCTGTCTGCTGAGTGGAAAAACCACCCATTTCACTCAATAATTCCTGAGCACAAATGTCCTCCTCTACCTCCTCCTCTTCTTCCTGTCCTGCCCCCACAGGGGTCATGTGGCGTTGAGATCTGTGCGCCACGTCTACCGCACCCTGACCAGCCATTGTTAACAGCATTTGTTCCAGGACGTGCAACAGAGGAATGACGTCGTTCATCCCATAGTCCTGCCGACTCACGAATAGCGTGGCCTCCTCAAAGGGCCTGAGCAAGCGGCAGGTGTCACGCATGAGCTGCCAATGGCTGACATCGAAGTTACACAGGGGAGTACCTTTATCCGCTTGTAACATCAGGAAATCGGTGATGGCCTTTCGCTGTTCGTAAAGGCGGTCTAACATGTGTAGGGTTGAATTCCACCTTGTTGCAACGTCGCAGATCAGGCGATGCTGTGGAATTCCGTTCTGCCGCTGCAGCTCAAGGAGGGTGTGCTTTGCGGTGTAGGAATGGCTGAAATGCATGCAAAGTTTACGTGACATTTTAAGGATGTCTTGCAGTGGGATGGTGGATTTTAGGAACCGCTTGACAACCAGATTGAACACGTGAGCCATGCATGGCGCATGGCACAACCTTCCTTGACGCAGAGCAGACACCATGTTCTTTCCGTTGTCGGTCAACATGGTTCCGATTTTCAGTTTGCGCGGAGACAGCCATCTGTCGATTTCTCTGTTCATTACACTGAGAAGTTCCTCCCCTGTGTGACTACGTTCGCCAAGGCATACCAGGTGCAGCACAGCGTGACACCGTTGCGCCCTGCACATGTGATATGCCGGTCGGGTAATGGGACTTGGCACGGGGGTGGGGGCGGTGGCGGCTGAGGACACGGCGGAGAAGAGGTGGTAGAGGCGGACATCTCTTTGCTGGACCAAGGACGTGCAAACGTGGAGGCAAAAGCGGCGATCGTGACCTGTCCAAGTTGCTGGTGCGGCTGTGCCGGCACCACGTTCACCCAGTGGGCCGTAAATGACATGTACTGTCCCTGACCGTAGTTACAGCTCCACACGTCGGCGCTGCCGTGCACTTTGGCAGAGACCGACATGCTCAAAGACTGGCCCACCATCTCTTCTACATGTGAATGCAGGGCTGGCACAGCCTTTTTTGGCGAAGAAATGCCGGCTTGGCACTCTCCACCGCGGCGCGGCACAAGCCATCATTTCTCGGAAAGGTGCTGAGTCCACCACTTGGAAAAGGAGGGACTGCAGCACCAGCAACTTGGACAGGAGGACGTTCAGCTTTTGCACCGTCGGGTGCGTGCTCGCAAACTGTTGTCTCTTGGAAACGGATTCCAAAAAAGACTGCTGACGGAATCCGTGAAGAGGAGTAGCAGGAGAAGGAGCATCTGAACGAGCGGAACAACTCCCCTCAGCAGAGGTGTTGGAGCCTTGACTGGCTGATAGAGGGCGATTGACGTCGGGTGACGGAGCAAGTAACGGAGCGGGTGATGGAGCGGGGGCTGGGGCAGGCAGAACCGCCGTATCTTTATCACGGTTTTCCCAGGCCACCAAATGGCGACGCTGCATATGCTGACGCAACGCTGTAGTCCCAACATGGGCCCCCTGGCCACGCTTGACTTTCTGGCCACATAGTCGACATACGGCTACGTTTACTTCCTCGGGCGGCTTGACGAAAAATTGCCACACCGCCGAGTAGGAAACTTTGCCCCCCCCCGCTACTCCTCACTGGCTGACTGCTACTTCCTCTGTGCACACCGGCACCACTACTGGCCGTGGTGGTAGGCTGCAGTGGAGCTGGTGCTCTACTCCGTGGCCGTTTGCTCCACTGACACTGCTGCGACCCTGCTGCCTCCTGGGCAACCCACCGACTGTTTTGCTCGCTGCCAAGCTGGCACCCTCTTCTCCTGATGATGCGGAAGAAATTGCCTGATGACGACGAGGCTGCCAAGTGCGATCAACCTCCTCATCATCAATTAGGGTCTCCGCCTCACTACTAGCCCCCTCGGCTGCGTGTGGGTCAGGAGACAGACCTGTCTCTAGACCGGCTACCGAGCCACTCTCCTCGCCAGTACTTCTTCGCCTGGCTGCTGAAGAGGCGGATGTCTCCCCCCGTTCCTGACCGCCCTCTGTTAGCTCTTCCTCACTGTACAGTGGGGCTGAGCCCACAGCATGCGATACTTCGCTTGGTGAGGGAACAGCAAAGGACAGGGGCAGGTAGAGGACACGTGATTTCAGTGGGCTTGCTCCCGGGCCATGCCAACTAACGGTTGTGTTTGACGTACACACCGACCGTTGGCTGTAGGTGTCAGAGGTGACCTGGGAAGAGGAAGACGACCGAGCCAACCAATCGATGACGGCAGGGTTGTCGGTGGAGACACGACCGCTGGATGACACCGGGAGCACTGGCCTCTGGCTGCGACTAGTGCTGCCTCGACCCCTTCCTCTGCTGCCACGTCTGCTTGCTCCTAAAACATTGCCTCCTCTGCCACTCCTCTGCATGTTGTCTGACATACTCTTTAATTCAACGATTATGGTGTCCCTGAGTAACAATTCTGTGTCCCTGAGTAACAATTCTGTGTCCCTCGAGTAACACTTCTGTGTCCCTGAGTAACAATTCTGTGTCCCTCAGTAAACAATTCTGTGTCCCTCAGTAACAATTCTGTGTCTGTCCCTCAGTAACAATTCTGTGTCTGTCCCTGAGTAACAATTCTGTGTCCCTGGAGTAACAATTCTGTGTCCCTGAGTAAACAATTCTGTGTCCCTGAGTAACAATTCTGTGTCCCTCAGTAACAATTCTGTGTCTGTCCCTGAGTAACAATTCTGTGTCCCTGAGTAACAATTCTGTGTCCCTGAGTAACAATTCTGTGTCCCTCAGTAACAATTCTGTGTCCCTGAGTAACAATTCTGTGTCCCTCAGTAACAATTCTGTGTCTCCCTGAGTAACAATTCTGTGTCCCTCAGTAACAATTCTGTGTCCCTCAGTAAAAATTCTGTGTTCCTCAGTAACAATTCTGTGTCTGTCCCTCAGTAACAATTCTGTGTCCCTCAGTAACAATTCTGTGTCCCTCAGTAATTCTGTGTCCCTCAGTAACAATTCTGTGTCCCTCAGTAACAATTCTGTGTCTGTCCTGAGTAACAGTTCTGTGTCCCTGAGTAACAGTTCTGTGTCCCTCAGTAACAATTCTGTGTCCCTCAGTAACAATTCTGTGTCCCTCAGTAACAATTCTGTGTCTGTCCCT